ATTCTTGATCCATGTATTCTGCCTATTGATTAATTTGTAATTAATTTTTGATCCTTGTTGTCTACCTATTGTTTAGTCTTGGTGACTGTCTACTGATTCTGTATTAATACCGTACACTTGCACTGCACTACTGTGGCTTTGGGTTGAGCCTTGACCAGGGGTCTTTGAACCTCACGGAATCTTAGTGAACTTAAGACACATCACTTCATTCTGAAGTGATTTGTTATTTCTCTGATTGGTTATTGTTTTGTTAATATTCACTGTGTTATATTCCCCTAATATTTTCATACTGTGTGTGATACTTTGTGTTGTCATATATTCTGTGAAATATCTTCTTGGTACTTCTGGCTGAACTTTAACCCTAAAAAATTTTCTTGTGTTGATTAAAAACTTTAAATGACAACGACAATGTTTGGACTTGGGGGGTTTTAATGGAAAAGGGGATTTTCCCCATTTGGCAGCAAAAAATGAGGGGAGTTCTTGTTTAACAGAAAGTGCCTAAAGCTATAACTGGTGAATATCCTGCTACTATGACTAATGAACAAAAATTGAATTTACTGAGCTTGCCTATACTTCCATTATTTTACACTTGTCTGATCAAGTATTAAGAAACATTGAAAAATTGGATAATGCAAAAGCCTTATAGGAAAAATTAGAAGAACTTTTATTTGGCTAAGTCATTGCCAAATAAAAAATTTCTTTTGGAAAGATTCTTTAGCTTTAAAATTGACATATCCTGAGACTTACATGATAACCTTGACACTTTTAATAAACTTGTATAAGATATTACTAATGCTGGGAATAAAGTATCGAAAGAATACAAAGCTTTAATTCTCCTAAATTCCATTCCTGGAGCTTATAAAGATGTTAAGACTGCTATTAAGCATGGCAGAGAGTCTTTAGCACCTGAGATAGTGATTAATGCTCTAAGAAGCAAAGAATTGGAAGTTAAGTCTGAGAGACATGGCAATGAGAATGAGAACCTGTTTGTAAGAGGTAGATCATTGACCAGACAGAGTAATAATCAAGGTAACCAGCATAATCAGTGGAATAATGCCTCTAAGAAGAACGGGAATGGTAGAAAAAGGTCAAAATCTAGAAATGGAGCTAGAAAATGTTATGTTTGTGGCAAAACAGGGCATTACATTAAAGACTGCTTTAAAAAGAAAAATGAGCAAATGGAGGTTAAAATTGATGAAAGGAATATGTTGAGCTTCTAGGTGAGGGTATCGTTGATATCTATGTTGTGACTGAGTCCACATCTGACTTGAATTCTGCAAATTATGCAAATAATTCAAGTCAGGGTGTAAAGTGGATCTTAGATTTATGTTGTACCTTTCATATGATCTCTAGAAAGCATTGGTTGCTTGATTTTAAGGACTTAGATGGGGTGAGGCAGTTATGGATAACAATGCAGCCTATAAAGTGTTGGGGATAGGCAGTGTGACTTTAAAATTTGATATTGGGTATACCTTTACCTTAGAAAAGGTGAGACATGTACCAAATTTAAATAGAAATATGATTTCAGTTGGGAACTTAGATGAAATAGGTCTCCAAGAAAAATTTGGAGACGGTTTCTTGAAAATAGTTGAGGGGTCCTTAGTTATTTTCAAGGGTATTAAAAGAAATGGGATCTATGTCACTAAGACAAATGTGTTGAGTCACACTGTAGAGTCCTCTATGGTTGAAAGTGATGCCACATTGAAATGGCATAATACGTTAGCCCATGTGAGTGAGAAAGGTTTACACATCTTAAGTGAGAAAGATGCATTTGGTAGTGATGTGATTTCTAAAATTTCTTTTTGTGAATATTGTACATTAGGCAAACAGCATAGACTTCATTTTAGTACAGGGAAACATAAGACTACATTTATCCTAGAGTATATACATTCTGACTTGTGGGTCCATCATCTGTCACCTCTTAAAGTGGGAATAGGTATTTTCTATCCTTAATTGATTATTTTTCAAGAAAAGTATGGGTATTTCTTTTAAAACAAAATTCAAATACTTTTGAAAAATTTAAGACTTGAAAAACTTTGATTGAAGATCAAATGGATAAAAATATTAAAATCCTAAGGACAGTTAATGGATTAGAATTTTGTAGTGCTGATTTTGAAAAATTGTATAAGGATAATGGCGTTTTGAGACATAAAACAGTACCATGTACTCCAGAACAGAATGGTATAGCTGAGAGGATGAATAGAACAATTCTAGATAAGATTATATGTATGATGTTCAGTTCAAGTGCCCCCAAAAGTGTTGTGGAGGAGGCATCAGTCTATGTTATGACAGCAATTTATATTATAAATAAGAACCCAACTAGTGCATTAGATGGTAGGACA